CCACAGAATCAGGGATGCAGTCCTTTGAAGGGAATAACACATTGTAGGACATACAGGACACATTTCCACTGTCACCATTTTAACGCAAAAGCACATCTTAAGACTTATTCTGCCCTCGTTGGTGTACATTTAATATGGTGTAAACCTGTTGTAAGACAGGCTCTTAATTGATCCATTAGTTGCAGTATGAGCCTGATGCTCTGTGGCAGGAATCCATGCTATTATTGCCGGCTCCCTCAGGTATAGCGCTACCGCACTAATCCCATTGCACATGCATCATTACCTCCAATAATGTTTGGCAGCTCTTCTTTACAGCTCCCATTTTAATTACCTTTGCTTTAAATATTTAACACACGGCAAACGTCTTTACGCGGCCGGCGCAAATTCAATTCAAAATCAGCTTTATACGTGGTAAGACGCGTTGCCGTTCATTTCACATTATTGTGAATTCACAATTTTTATTTCATTGATTCTTTGTTTCTTACAGTGTGAGTTTGTGTTGCAGGGCATGCAGGATGTTTGATCATGGATGCAGGACAGCAAGCTGACCTTTGCTATAAGCGTTACACAACGGTGTTTTGAACCTTCGGCATGAGTTACGCTCCATCATGCCAATGTCACTCCTTGTTTCCCCCCCTTTTTTAATCAAAACAGTATTCAGAATAAGATTGTGGGAGATTATTATTTAGTTAGATCTGTAGAAATAGATCTCGCCTTTTGGACAGATTGCTTGGTGGAGATCCTGTGGGATAATCCAAATGATAGTCCGATGACCTTTAATAAAACAAAACTATTGGACTAAGAGGGAAACCATGGAACCTGCATCCTCTGATATATATATATTTTTTACTATAGGAACAAATCTATAGTCTACAGCTTTCAGAATCCAAAAAAGCATTCGCATAAGGAATAAAATGCAAACATTTATGTAATTTACGCCGCATTTTTGGCGCATTTCACATTCATAATTATGTACACATTTTAAAAAGGTCATTATTTATAGCAAGATATATGGCATCTGCCGCCTGTTGCTGATCTTTTTTTATATTTTGTAATGGAACTCTTATTAAATAAATTATTACCTATAGCAATATTATGACCGTCTTTGTCACCTTAAATTATGAATTCTGCGCCCCCTTTTCCAGCTCGCCCACAAATTGACCACAGCGCATTTGAATAGATCTAATACTCTTATTATTACATGCTTTAATCTTTAAATCCGTCCTGAAATAATGTCTCTTTCGACAGATTAATTTACTGAACCCTGACCGCTCCAGTCTAGTTTTTATTTTTCTCGTTTGCATGATCATGTTTTTCTGACAAAAAATAACTCACTAAAACAACAATACACTGTTTGAATCTTGACCGACGAGTTATTAACGTGATAGATTGAAATTTAAATAGAATTAAGCTAAATAAATGTACACTGTTTAATATTTGTCTACACTACATGGAAATAGTCAGTCTGGGTATAGCTACAAATAAACGAAAAATACTTTTCTCTGTACTTTTGAGGCAAACCAGCAATTGCTTTGTAATTTTAATTGGGTGCTTAGAGATCCCCAAGGATGTTAGTTCGAGAAATTGACTGATCAACATCAAAACACTTGATGCGCGTTTCATGGTATGGATGCTCTCGCGTGACCTCGTTGTTAACACAAGAACTTGATGATGAACCTGCTCGCGCGCAGTGGAGACAAAGCGGCATTCATAACCAATTCCTGCCTCACTCAGAGCCTGAACAGTAACAAAGTGTTTGATGCCAATTCCGATTAAATAATGACAATGAGAAACTGATGTACCCTTTCTTCACACCATTACTGAGTTCATTCACGTCCGCGTCTGAATTTATGACCTTCCTTCCGACAATGTCCTGGCTTCGCGCATATAGAGTCAAGAAGATAAACTGAACAATGCAGAGCTATCGGATTCATTTATAAACAGAGAACATTAAACAAAAATTAGAAAAAATTTGTTCTTATAAAATATTTTATAAATTACATGACATTTACACAGTTTCTTGATATAAACTGCCTCAGGAGCACAGTATCACACCTCATTTATTTTTGTTCAGTAAATAAAAGTAAAAAGACTGACTGTAAAGTTCACACCAGCTTCCAAAAAAAGTAAATCACATAACATTAAGTACATGACCACAGAGAAATAAATGTAACGCACAACAAAACCTCGAGAGGACTCATGGTAACAGATAAATAAAGCTGATGAATAATCAAACAATAAATAGGCAAATAGAATTACTAAACTACGATTGCCAATGCAAACATAAGAAATCACAGTTCATTCTCATACATACACAAAACATTGCATAAAGTTATTGACACCATCAAATCATATTGTGCAAAAATATGGCTGCCTCCAGTTTTCACAGTTCCAGAAAGACTCATTGCGGTATTATTTCAAGTGCCTGTTGCCATGGGCTTATAGTTCTTCATTGACTCCATTCCATAGTGCATAATGTAGATCATAAAAATGTCCCAGTGTTTATTGGTGTTTCCTCAGTCCTAATTCAGAGGAAGAAGGGAAATATGAGTGCGAGCCAATATTGTGAAAGCTTGGCTGTAGGTGAAAATGACAGGTAATATTGGATAACTGTGTGATTGAATCCTTGTGATGCAGAATTATGTTTATATGTCATTACCTCTAATCACACACATACAGATACTAGATGGAAAGGTACATCATTGTTTTTTAGTTGCGCAGTATTTAGCCAAAGCAATCAGTTAGCTGATGGCTACGCAGCCCAAATGTTTACTGATATCAGAGATGCTTTACTAGTGAGTATGTGTAATTACATTACTGTCTGTGGCCGTGGGGTGACATATTATGTAATCCTACTGTATATGATTGGATTTATTTTTTATCCTTAGAAGAAAAAAAAATCTGTTTCCAAACAATAGTTTGCAGATAGGTTTATGCATGCAGTCAATGCGTTAATCAGTTTCATTCTTGTCATCATGTGAGGGATAAAAACACCCGCATAATGGGTTAAAAAAAAGAATGTGTTAATGTGTGTGTTTTCACTCATGCTCACCTGCTTCACCTCTTCATCACGGGTCTGAATGCAGTGGTCTTCTGGATTGTTGGACACGTGTCATTGAGCTCACTTGATTCTATCTCTGTCTTTCCTGCACTGGGAAATCCTGTGGTAGACACACAATATCACATGGCTAACTGTTAATAAACAGACTTAGCTTGACTTAATAGGTCAAATTTTACACAGTTTGTTGATGTTAAGCATTTAGAGTTACGAAGAGCTAATAACTATTCAAACTTTGTGATTTGTTATTTAGTTCATTTGATATTTCTGTAGTAAACACAGAGAAGCTGTACCTTCTATTGAGGAGTATTGGCAGGATTCTGTCAGTCCAGGATAGGATGAAGAGTGAAGTTGAAGGGTCTTGTAGCTCCCGCTATTGTATGCCTTGTGTATCCCCTGCAGTCCTTCTTGGTAAAGGCTTTCAGTATTGCTGAGGTTTGTAGGGTCCTGAAGGCCCTTCAGCTCCCCACACTGCACCCCTTCGACTGTGGGGAGCCTTAGTGTCTGCATCTGACAGTCCACGGGCCCAGTCCGTACATCCCCACTGTTCTGCGTGCCTAACACAACGCCTGCGACGGCTGTACGCGCCAGCGACCAGATCCGAGGCTTTTCCGATGGCTCAAAGTGAGAGAGCGTCACAGTGTTGATGGAGGTGGACTGAGGTGAGTGCTGTTGTTGCTGTCGTTTGGATCCCAAAGGATCCAGGTAATCAGGGTTCAGAGGCCCCAAACTCTTTAGACCACAGGGAAAAGATGGGAAGTTCGAGTGAAGAGGAAGGTCAGGGTTACAGTCTCTCTTTGGAGGGGAGGAAGTCGGGAGGTCATCCTGACCTGATTTCTCACAGTCACTGTCCAGCTTGTCACAGTCCTCGTCCTCCATGTCATCCAGGTCACTGAACTGCAGGTCCTGCTCATCCTTACTGTCTTTGGAATCTATGCAAGAGGATTTACAAACACAGATCAGTATTTTTTTTTGTTTTTATTTACAGAATGTTTATTTCATTTATTAACTGACGAGACTTATGAGGTACCTTTGGTAATGTTGTCTGGGTCACTCTTATTAAGCTCTTCCTTCCTGTCATCGCCTGCTTTGTTTTTAGGGGACCAGGTCATTTTGTTTTCTTTCTTTAGTCTTCTCCTAGCATTGGCAAACCAGGTAGACACTTGCGTGAGAGTCATTTTGGTGATAATGGCCAGCATGATCTTCTCACCCTTTGTAGGGTATGGGTTCTTCCGGTGTTCATAAAGCCATGTTTTAAGAGTGCTCGTTGTCTCACGCGTGGCATTTTTTCTCCGTGTTGACCCATTAAAATCAACTGTCCCATACCTGGATCAAGTTCAAAAGCAGCATCTTTAGATTTTTTTTTACTTGTATTTTCAGCATGTTTAAATATATCATATTAGAGGTGGGACAGACGTAAATCGCACCTGTCGTACTGGTACTGGCCGAGTGAGTGGTCATATGGATAGTAGGCGGCAGGTTGGGTTATAGTGCCATGAAGACTGCCTGACCCCTCTTTGATTTCATATTGTGGGTTCTAGAGACAAAAACAAACAAACAAACTTTAATATGTGATATAGCTTTCATATATTGCTGGTACTGTACTTGGAGAAATACATTTATTATTTAGAATGGAAGCAGAAGCTTTTATCTTCTTATCATCCATAAAATATATACATGTAAAATATAACTTGCATGATAAGCTATAGGCTACACACTTTTATGTTTTGTATTTATTTTTTATTAGTTATAAACCAATTAGGCCCTTACATCAAGCAGGCGACATGCGGTGTCGCTTCATTCATCAGTTTATTTCTTCTGATTATTCAAAGTTATTTCACCAGGCAGCTAGACAAGCCAAAATAATCAATAACAAGCGTGACTTGAATGAGTCAATCGATTGAACGGAGGACGCGCGCTATATCTGATGAGATGATGCTACACATACCAGGCTGGAGTAGATGGCAGAGGGGTCGGCGCTGTACGGAAAGTAGTTGGCGTAGTTCTGCCCGGCTGCCGCCGCTGCTGCTGCGTAAGGAGAGCCGTACATCCCGAGCGCGGCGTTGAGCTCTGTCCGCGTGCTCGCAAGCAGCCGGTTCTCATAGGAGGGACAGCAGAAGGAGGCTGCGGTCTGAGACGCGCTCGATCCTTCCGTCACCGACCTGGAAATCGAATCGCAGCAAGTCGTACTGGGGTTTGCCGACACGAAGAACTGCATGAAGAAAATTGTGGATACACATGTCATTTTATATTTGCTTCACAAAGCATGCGCGCAGTTTTCTTAGTTAAACAAAAGTAAGGTAAGATTACGCGAAGGAGCACTGAACTCTTCCTTTTGAAACTCTCGTTTATGCGTTTTATTCATAAAGATGTGCACTTTCATTTGATTTAAGACTTTATTGTGATTTTTGTTCAAATATCAATAAACATAGGCTGCTATATAGATAGGCTACTTTAAAAAGTCGAACCTTTCTTGTGAGCTGATTTACTTGTTTAGTGTAAAAAAAAAATCAACAACAGTGTTTTGTTAAAGCTGAAAGTAAAACTTTCCAAGTTTTGCGTCAGGGAATTAAAGTTAACCACCAGCAAGCGCGGATTATTTTGTCTACATAGGCGTGTTTTTTACAATAAAATAAAACTAACTGATTCTATGATGTCAAATTTTTCTATTCGTTATCTGTAAATGTTGGCTATAATTAGTTTAATCACACAGACTGTAAATACTACCGCCAAAGGGAGGAGTCTCGCTTTCACTCCGAACAATTACACCTTAAAGGTAATTTACACGTTTACAACACGTGAGGTCATTTATAATTCAAATAACCCATTACTATAAATATTGACAAACCCCACGATATCTTTAGTTTAGGACTTACTTAGTGACAGAACAATCAGCTGGTGCCTATGTCAGTTACCGAGTTGCCTTCAGAAATCATGACAGAATGAGGGGGAAAAACACCCTATGCATGCGCGCTCATTAAGTATCTTCATGAGAAAAAAAAAGATCTAATTGTCATGCTTACCTGAGAAGTTGCATTGTAAGGATATCCAAACTGAGAGAAAGACATAGCTGCTTCTTTTGTTACCATAAGCAATATTCTTCTCCCGCTGATCGATTGAAACCAAATCTACTTCAAATCCACCGTCTTACACACATTTCCACACTCGGCCTTTCGCTCAATAATAGATGACTGCACTTAACTGGGAAGCTCTGAGGATGTTTACGCCAGCCCTAGTTTTATATGTATAAGATAATCCCTTAAGGAAATGAAAAATTAGAGTTAAGCTTCATTAAGTACAAAAATATTGTTGTTAAACAGCTGTAGAAAGCTTAAAGGATAACGTAAGACTTGCAAGATATGAACTTGTGGTTGTGCTATTATTTGTGCCTCTATAGTTCTTTAGAATTCATCCATGCACGGGTATCAGTGTGACGTCATTCTAATCCCGGGACGGCGAGGATAGAATGATGTCTTTGCCAATCACGTCATGCTTCGCGCTTTTCTTGAGGTGTGTTTTGCACACCCCTGTCCCCTCTGTTTCCCCCTTTTCTTTTTAAACAGTAGTGTAATTTTAAGACTTAGAGCGCAAAAAAAGTAGCTATCACTGGGCTTGCTGAAAGCAATAGCCTATAATGAAAACTGGCTAAATATATAAACTTTTTTTTTGATAATTGATAGGCTAATATAATTTTTTTGTAAATAAACTGACAATCAACTTCAAGAATATTTTGGATATATGTGGAATTGATGAAATGCCAAATAACTCCTATCTAATTCACATCTAATCACCTGTTAGATATCCGTGCTCTCCTTAATTCCGCCCATGTCGATATCATGCAAAATATTTTCAGGTTTATGAAGATAATAAATCACAATATATCAGATTTAATAACTATAATTTATTTTTATCTATATAAATATCTAATAATATATTTATATTTTATCCACCTTATCTATACAATTATGCCCTCGAATACTCTCTTATTATTATTATTTCATTTAAGACCCTGATGATGAGCAATGAACTGAAGAGGTATCTGCAGGACCCTTGCTCGCATCTGTCTGACCGATCAAAGGTCCGACCTGATGTTAATTACGATGATGTTTCCATCTCTCTCTATTAGAGAGAGTCCCAGTCCCGTCAGACGTGAAGAGAACCTCTGGCAGGTCAACAGAAAACTGATTGATGCGTATCTCGGGACCTACGCGACCATTACGAGAAATGCGTAATTGCATCAATTAACAAATGGATATGGCCTTGTTTAACCAGCGAGTTACACCATGAAAATACGCCTTTGAGGTGAAATTAGACAATCAGAATGGAACCGAGAGAGAGAGAGAGAGAGAGAGAGAGAGAGAGAGAGAGAGAGAGAGAGAGAGAGAGAGAGAGAGAGAGAGAGAGAAATTAGTTGAATCTCTCAAGTCTAATTATACGGCAGTAGTGGGAGGCGACGGGAACAGCATTCTAATTGAAGGGTGCGTACTTGAAAGGTATGGTAGAAATAGCCTAACCTAACGCTCCCTCGCGCGGAATAAGTCTGGATAAAGTTTAATACATGCCGTTTTATTAAATGTTTTAAACAATATAATTAGAAGACCCCCTCCCCCTCTCACACTCACACACACATAGGCACATTAGTTTTTGGTGGGAACAAGATTTAGGCCTGGCCTATATCGTTTTTATTCTGAGCGATCCTTAAACCTAACCATCATGTTACAAACATCATGCATTTTAAATGATCGTTAAGACATTATTGAGCCTGTTTATTAACCAGTTTTACTGATGAAAAAAATTTGATTTCATCCCCGTTACATGTGGAGTAGCAAAGACAAAACACTCCCGTTCTTATCCTAAGACTTAAATTAGCCAATATCAAAAATATTAATTTAATTTACTGTGGGATATCTGAGATAAAAGAACTGAGTATGTAGCCATTCCTCATGCGCAGCAGGCTAGCGAGCGATCACTTCGTGGCAATCAGCAGCAATCTCCCCTTCTCTCGTTTTTTTTATTATCATTTTTTAGGATAACATGACATGAATTGTTCAATGACCCTGCTTAAAAATAACTAGGACCATGTCCACGGTGATCCTTTTGCGATTACAAGCTCAATCTTCGAGAGGCGCCAGAGAGCTGCGAGTGAGTGAACGGCCGTGATGGAGCTGGTAAGCTGTAATGACTGGAGCCTACAGGCCCATCAAGTGCCACGTTCAGTTCAACTCACCGCAGTCTCTACATATTCTGAGTCGAGCATTTTGTAAACAGAGACTTATAAAAAAAGAAACAATTTAGCAGATATGATTTATTCTCATGAAGAAGAGTTTAAAACAGACAGTCTTAAACAGACTGTAACACAAAAGAAGATATTTTGAAGAATGTTGGTATTGGTACAAAAAAAAAACATTTCTCAAAATATATATTTTTATGTTCACCCGAAGATATATAGGCTAGTAAAAAGGTGGAAAGTAAAAGAGGAAAATAAATGCTATAGTAAAAGAGGAAAAGAAATAAGCCTGATTATTGAGGATTTTCAAAAAGCAGTAGTCACACTCTAATTTAATTGCATTATGACCACATATCCCCATGTGTTACAGATCAGAGATTCACTCCTGCTACGAGCACAATAAGAGGAAAAGGAAGGAAGTTTACTGTAGTTTCTCCAAAGCCTTTTGCAAGGGCACGGATGATAGCCCAAGTGCATATTGGCAGCCTCATCCATAATGCATGTGGAGCAGCGCCTGATGATCAGAACTGGGGGTGGAGGGGGTCGTGAGTTAAATCAACCTTAATTGAAGAGGTAGAGCACACTGACCAGTCCTACACACTTATCACTTTTCATCCCTTTTTGTCCCACTGCTTTCGGGATCTTATAAGCTAATTTCTGATATGAAACCATCACATCCATTCCTTAAAATGTGTTTGGTCTGCATTCTTTAAGTGTATAGATGTATGGAAATAAGGATAGTTTTTATGTTTGTCATTCTCTGTGACAAAGCATATAGCATTTTCTTGAATTAGCATTGTCTGTTCACAAATTTGAATGGTCCATTCGTTTACCTTTGTGTGTGTATGTGTGTGTGTGTGTGTGTGTGTGTGTGTGTGTGTGGCTGGGCCTCTGTTAGCCTTGCATAGGGATTATGGAGGCGCAAAGCCTCACAGCAGAAAGGTTAAACCAACAGCCAGCTTCACCTTCTCATTTAATACATTTCTCAGGCTGCTTTAATGAATTTCACAAAGCTTTTCTGCTTTTTCATAAGACAGATCAGAGCTTTTTTATGAAATAATAATAAGGTACTGCTCAGAGAGGGGCAGAGTGAAGGGGAGGGGACACTCAGGATCGAAGCAGAGTGATATCTCATTAAACAAGTTTGATATTCCTGATATATTCAGATGAATCCTAGACATACACGATCCTGAATTATTGCTCACTGTCTCTGCTTGCTTCATTCCTGGCCAGGTATTAACACTGCTAAATTATCCAAAAATTGAAAAGAAAGTAATAAATATTCTAATGAGAAGCCCTCAAATTATAATGGATGTGGCCATAACAGTGCCCAGCAAAATCCAAAACAAACTTCATCTAAGCAGATGGATAAATTGACCAGAGAAAGGAAGACTTGATTCTTCAATTATCTTCATCTACAATAGATGTAATAAAGTTATCAATCCAGCCATGTTAATAAAAGCTTTGAGTTTCATGCAATAAAGTTGGAATTGCATCAACGTCTCTTCCCCAATGTCAAGCTTGAAATCATATAATTGCTCCATTTTCCAATCGTTGATTACTCATTCTATTATTGCAATAATTATTGTTTTAAAACATGGTAAATATGCCTAAACCACAGTACATTACATTATTACTAATATTATTCATATTTAGGAATTGTGGTGGCAAACAAAAGACACTACACACTACTTTCAGAGATTTGATAGTGACCCAGGATGAATGTATGAGTGCATTATACAGTAAATGCAATGTAATTTAATCAGTGTTTCTGCTGTCAAGGATTTGTAACTTGTTGCACAGAAATTTAACTGGCAGCTACTTGGATGATTCATTCAGGGCCTCTGCGTATTTCTAGAAATGCTCTCTGAGTTTGTTGAATCTTTTGCATATGTATGATGTGCACATGTATGCATGTTGTCTTCATACTATATATAGTTTAAATATATGTTTTGTAAGGCTCCACTGTTTAAAGCAGAAAAGGTATTGAAGAATATGCTAATTTCATGCTTAAGAAACATTTCTTAACCATGTTGAAAACAGTTGCTGTTTTTTTTTTTTTGCTTGTTTGTTTTTTGTGGAAACCGCCATGCATTTATTTGAAATCGAAATCTTTTTTTGAAACAAAAAAAAAAAAAAAAAAAAAAAAACACTCTAAATGTCTTTACTGTTGAATAAAATTCTTTATTTGTAAAAACAAATCTTACTGACCTCAAACTGGAATGACATGACGGTGTATAAATGATGACCTTATTTATTTATTTGAATAGGATGTGTGCGGCATACAATGCTCAGAGTTTGGCAACTGGTGAAAGATGTTCAAAGCACAGATGTGTTCATCTTGCCAGTAAACTGTGGGGACAAATAAGTCTAGTATTACATTAGTGTCTCAGTAATTATAACCCTTTATTATGATCTTTGTATAGGCGACAACATCTGCAACATTTTGTGTGGTTCTAAAACTTCTGAAACTCTAGCCATCTTCTCCTCTGTGACCCCTCTCTCTTCCTCTCCTACTCTCTCTTCTCAATGTGCTTGTGGCCCCCTTGAAAAGGTCCCATCTGCAAATGTTTGTGGGTGGTTAACCAAATGATGGTGCCAAGTCATACAAATAGCCATGCTTGGTGTTTGTTTGCATAAACACTTCTGAGAGGCTGCAATGTTTTGTAGCTGTTTCTTACAGTTGGTTGGAGGTTGAAGGGCTGTGACAGAAACACGGGGGATACGGTTCATTGCAAGGTCCCAATCTCCATTACTGGGTCTGGATTCTGAAGTCTGTAGTGCTTTTGGTGTGCAGGGAGGGACAGTATGTTTAAGACATTTTTTTTTTTGTTGTTGCAAGTATTAAAGTAATCCAGGATGTTGTGATGTCAAATTGACTTTTTCACTTGCTCTTACTTCAAAGCCTCGTCTTGGGTACCATGCAGTATTAGTCAGAAGTCCAACTAATTGAGAAGTTTTCTTTCACTTTTGATTTTCCTTCTCGATTGAAAGAATGCCAGAAGGGGGCAAATGTTGAGCGGTGTAGGACGGGAGAATTAAAGATTAAGTTACATGTACAGGCAGAAAAGAACATTCGTTTATCCCGTATTATGACCGCACATTTTAGTTTCAGGTTTTCATCCCTGGAATTTAGGAGGAACTGAAAATGAC